AAGAAAAGAAAGGAAAGGAAAGGAAAGGAAAGGAAAGGAAAAGAAAAAAAAAGAAAAGGACAGGAAAAAAGATATTTGAGATTTAGAAGTCATGAATGTTATATTACTTCATATCACTTACTCTGTCCCTATGATATTAGCAGTGTCTATAAATCTTATCTGGCAAGAATAAAGGCGAGAGTTGCATCACTGAGTGTATTGTACCAGTGATTATAAGATAACTTCCAATTACCAACAATGTTGGATCTACTTTCTGAATTACAGAAAGGTTCTAAGAGCCACTATGATTTTTTTTTTAAAGATTTTATTTAATTATTTGACAGAGAGAGCAAGGGAGAGCATGAACAGGGGGGAGTGGTGGGGCAAAAGGAAAGAGAGAAGCAGATTCCCCACTGAACAGGGAGCCTGATGCAGGGCTTGATCCCAGGATCCTGAGATCATAACCTGAGCTGAACGCAGATGCTTAACTGAATGAGCCACCCAGGCATCCCACCACTATGATTCTTTTTAGCATTTTCTTCTGGAGTCAAAAGTAAATAACACTAAATTATTCTTTGCACTATCTGCATTTTTCTTCCTTTCCCTTTATGTGAAGTAAAATATTGAAGTTAATGTAACTCAAGACATGCCCTTTCTCTGAAGAGTTGATACATAGTTAAGAGCACACAGGAAGGAATTTAATCCTCAGATCTCTAAAAGCTATAAAGAGCCTGGATCACTTTTCCATGTATAAGCTTTGTTTTAGAAGCACACAAAGCTCATTTTGGACTCGAATGGAGAAGTCTGTGACATATAGCACATAGACAAATTCTAACAGATGGATTTTTCTTGAAATAACTTCATTAGTTAATCATTTCTTTTACATATACTTTTTCTAGCTAATTGGTATAGCTGCCAGCTGGAGCTGTTAAGGATCCTCCAAAGAAACTGGTAGGTAGGGAGAAACTCCAATAATTTCACCAAATCTAGCGTCGAACACCCATTAATTTCACACTAATCATTACATATTTTGAAAGAAAATCTTATCCTTTCATTTTTGTTTCTCCAATTTGCTCCAAACAACTTAAATGATCTGTGCTTAAACCAAATCAATCATCTAGAAGAAACCTGAGTCTTTAATAATAGGTCAGGGTTTACTGAACTTGCCAGTATGGACATTGTGGACCAGATCATCTTATTTGTCTTTTTTTTTTTTTTTTTTTTTTTTTTTTTTTGTCAGGGAGAGAGAGAGAGCACAGGCAGGGGAAGCAGCAGGCAGAGGGAGAAGCAGGCTCCTTGCTGAGCAAGGACCTCCATGAGGGGCTCAATCCCACGACCCGGGACCATGACCTGAGCCAAAGGTAGATGCTTAACAGAATGAAACACCCAAGCATCCCTTTTTGTCAGCTTTTAAGGAGTACTTCCGGCTTGTACCAAGTTGATGTCAATAGTACCTCCAATTGTGGTAACCAACAACGTGTCCAGACATTGCCAGAACTCCCTAGGGGCCAAAATGCCCTGGCTGAGAACCACTATTTTAGAAGTATATTGTTCCTAAGTTTTATTTCAAGTCAAAAAATAGTTTAATGTATGCATATACACATGTACTTCACTTCAGACATGTCTAATAGATTAGAATTTTTTGTCTTTCAGTCAGGTAAAGGAAATGTTTCAGTGGGGAATTTTTAAGCAGTAATACTTTCATAAATCTCTGTGCACAAACAAGCAAAAAGGCAGGATATGTGGCTTCTAACATGAATGAATACTAATTATCTAAGAAGCACCATCACCACTGGGTGCCTGGGTGGCTCCGTTGGTTGAGCATCTGACTTGGTTTTGGCTCAGGTCATGATCAAGTTTCAGAAACTGAACCCCTCCTGGGCTCCACGGTCTGTGGGGAATCTGCTTGAATGATTCTATCCCCCTCCCCCTCCCCCCACTCTTTCTCTCTCTATCAAATATATAAATAAATCTTAAGAAAAAAAGTGCCATCACCATCTTCATCATCAGAAATATTGATTTTTTTTTTCCCCCTTTAAAGAAGTAACTCAGTGTGATTGGGTAAGTGGATAAGTAAAATCCTGTGTTGGGATAATCTGAGATGAAAAATGGTTAATTACTAGTTTAGGTGCCTAAGGCATTTTTAAGTAAGGGAAAGCAGTGTATTTTAATACAATGGACACTGAGAAAACAAGGATCTGCTTGACTTGACTTTGATTTGTACATGTACAGAGTGATTTGGGGTTCACAAGATGGTTTAGTCATTCAGATAGAGACATTTCCTGCTCTTTGAAGTTCAATATTAGTAAATATAACCTGTACCACCTATTTATCACTTACTGATTTTTCTGTAATTTATGTATGAGTGGACCTAGGAAGAGTAGCATGGGAGTAAGATACTAATTACCAAAGGTGTTAAAAGAGAAGCAAGAAGGCTTTTCTAGTTTAAGGTAAATGTAAGAACATAATAACCCCACAAAGTATGCAGGGAGAATCATTCACCATGTTAAAAAAAACAAAACTAAATTCTATCCAAATTTCTGTTTTTCCAGCAAAAGCTTTGTAATAGAGATTTGCTCAAGTGGATTTTTAATATAAAATAAAGATAAATATTAACATTTATCATAATGTTTAAATAGACACATTGTTTCAAAAATCAAGTTATTTACCTAAAAATTCCATAGTGATGTGTTTACTTTGTTGGACTTTCTAGAGCCCCTGTAACAATTCAGATTCTATACTTTAGTGTTTAAAGAGTCATTCTTCCTCTCAATAGCGTGTGTTACACTAGGCCAATTGTCACTTTGAGTTCTTTGAGTATGCACTATCCTTCAGTATGGCAAAGCGAAATAACCCACTTTGATATTTCAACTCAAAGAACTGAAGGCCCTGCACACCCCTGGCTTCGCTTTATTTTTAAGTCAGAAACCTGGCTCCCATAGACTCTGTACACTTACTCTCTGCGGGGTCCTTAGAACGGCGGCCGCTGGATGACTTCCTCAGCAGGCTTCGTCCAGAGGTAAAGAGGCTGGTTAGTTCTTCCAAGGGACTTGTAGGGGTCCTGGACCGGGAGGCGCCCGGAGCTGGGCCGTAGGTGTTCACCGAGGCATTGACCATCTTGGCCCCATCCTGCGACACTGGCCTGCCGGTCGAATGAGGCACTGATGGAGAGCTCCTGGAGATGCTGCCCGAATGCACGGCATCGTAGGGCGGGGGTCGCTTGAGGCTGAGTGGGGTCAGGGACCTCCCCATGCTGACCGGCGACGGGGAGGCCGAGTGGCTCTTCGGGTAGCCGTGGGGGGACTGGGTGCGGTACAGGGTGGATGGCGGGGGCGGGGACGAGGACAGCGTGGAGGCGGCAGCGGCGGCAGGGCCCGGGCCCAGAGCTGCGGCCTGATCTTTGTCCAGCTTGGGGTGGCCGGAGGCGTGAGAGGGCAGTGAGGACGGAGATGCACCGGCCTGCTGCTTCATGTAAGACACGTTTTCCAACACCGGCAGTTTGGTGACCTCCAGGGGGGTAAGCGGAGACTCATCGGAATTAGGGGAGCACTGCACGGGAGCGGGAGGGAACACCAGCAGTGGGGGTCGGTGAGAAAGCAGGTTGGGGAAGGGCGGGGGGATGTCACAGAGCAAACCCTTTGGAGTACATGGCACTGAGGACTTGGCGAAGTCCGAGTCAGGCACCGTGGGAGTAGCACACTGCGAAGAGCAACTGTGATGGTCAAGGTCACATTTCGAATCTTGGCCCAAGTCGTCAAAGATGGGGTATTTCATCTCTTCGTAGACGGCCTCGCTCTGGTCATCATCCTCCTTCCTGAAGTCTCTGAGAATGTTGCCCACCATCTCGATGTACACGGGCTCCTCCTCCTCGGGGTCCCCGGCCGGGCTGCTGACCTGGGACAGAGAGGGGTCCCGAGGGAGCGAGGTCCTCCGAGGCGCGTGCTTCTTGATGTACGTTTCATCGAAAGATGTACTCAGCTGAGTATTCGGGTTCCGTTTGGGTTTGGGAGGAGGGATCTTCTTTGAATATTCATCACTGTGGGGTCTGGGTTTGGCTGACACTACAAAAAGAAAAGAGAAGAACAGAAAAGGAAAACAGATGAGTACAATAGGAAAGCCTTCAAACAGGACTTGCACTTGGGTTTACTGCTATGGACTTTTGGTGGAGGCTTGGGGGCGGTGGTAATCTGCTTCGTTTCTAGTTTGAGGCTAAGATTAAAAATCAAACAAGTCAAACACTTTCCATATGTAGGAAAACCTGATGACAGAACAATGGTAGTATTTATCTTCAAGCTAATATCACTAATCTGACACTGAAAAATGCATTAACTGGGGCTATTCGTCTCTCTGCCTTAGAATTTCTAAATAGAAGCCTTCAGATGAAACATGTTCCATAAAAACAACCATAAATTTCCTAAAGATTAACCTCCAAGAATTATGTGAGCAAAGGGGGGAGGGGAATCAAGTTTTTCTTAGCACAAATGGTTACAAAAATACCATGGGATTTGAACCCTTTTAATGATGTGGCTATTGCACATGATCACATCTTGCTTTCATTTAGGATAAAAATGTCCCAGCCTGCTAGGCTTAATCTCTGCCTTGGTTCAGATAAATAGCTTCTATACCGATGCTTCAGGGGAAATTGATGTGAAAATCTCATGAGGCTAGACAAGTTAATCTCTAAATCTCCAGGTATTGTTGATTATGGTGTATTTGTCTGTTTTTGTTCATGAGATCTCTTATGATATCACAAACGCTATCTTGGAATGAATTTATTAGGTATGTGGCACTGACATGACAGAACCCCCTCAAGCGTCTTACCAAAAAAAAAAAAAAAAAAAAAGGTAAATAAATAATCCAGAGAATGTTGTATAAGCTTCAAGAATATCTTTTGGAAACTCACAACAGATATATGTACCAGTGCGCTCAACAGCTTGCTGGAAGGAAACACCCCTAGTAATGAAACATAAACTCTGACACCGTACAGTAGGGTAGAATAGGCTGGCAACATGTCTGTAACTGAAATCAATTATTTAGCATGCAGGGAAGGTACTGACATCTTGTTATTATCTCATTATCTCATTGTGTTGATATATGATTACAATGATTATCATTATTATGCAGTGTGGCAGAACACAGTTACTTGTGGTAAATGGTAGCATATGATATAAGGTGACAGTATAGCTTATTGGTATAAAACTATTGAGAAAATAACAGGCTTCTCTATAATTTGCAGCCTGAAGGGAAGGTGGGATCTCAAGACACAAATCAGGAAACACCTGAAGTCATTTTTGTTTTGTTTAAATAGCATAATATGACCCAGGAGCTTTTCTAAAACTTAATAAAGGAGAAGCTAGTGCTTAGAGATTAGTCAGTCTGCTGCTCTACACATCAATCATGACTTCACAGAAAGGAGACCCATCAAATATTCTAGAGAAGGGGCTATGTCACTCACTTTTCTAGGTCATTCCTGGTTTCAAATATTCTGTCCTATTGTGCCCATGATGATGTTTTTACTCACTACTATCAAATATTTTTTTCAAGGGAAGTTTCTTAATGTATCTAGACTTTTCCTTTAATTCATATCAAGAAAAAACTAGATGTTGCTTTCCAGGGGGTTATAGCAGTGGAGTCTTTGAGTGCCAAAAATGAAAAGCCTAAAGACATAACAGGACAAAAATTACCTAGACAATTCTTTAGGAGAGATGCAAAGTGACCAATAACTCCTCTCTGTATCTCCCACTGGTCTTAAATTTTACTGGTTTTAAAATCTACTGTGTATGTTAATTTTCATGAATTAAATAACTCGTCAGATTACATACAAAAATCTGAGCCTGATGTATAAAGTAAAATTATACATCACTGACTGAAGTTGACCTAGTACTGGGGGTACATTGATTTGGGACCTAGAAGAACAAAAGCCTATCCAGACTATTCTTCTAAAGCTTGTTTCCTGCCATCTTCCACCTTAGGGTCTCATTCTAGGCTGAGTAACTCACATGCTGGGAAAATGTTTGCCACTGATTATTGGATTCTAGAGATTGAATGGTGTGGAGTTAGGGGAAATCCTTAGAAGAGAGAAGTCTGAATAATGAGGTGCTCTGTGAATGGAGGGTTAATCTAAAGCTAGGAATTAGTGTGTCCATGAGATAATAACTTCATTATATGGGAGTGGTCATACCTAGAATAAGATTAGCATTTTTATCCTTTCTAAATTATGGTGCACTTCTGTTTTCTTTGACCCTTCACTGAAGTCCAATGTCCCCACCTAGACTTGGGTAGTTGTATGGAAAGAAATAACAAGACAGGCAGAATTCATGCATCTGAGCCCATGCCTAGGTAGGGGCACTACGCTGAATGAAGACCATTACCCAGGATTCCAAGAGAGTGAGGGGTCAGTGGTAGAGCTGGTTGTGACATGATACCAGTGTCCCTCTTCCCACATAGATTAGAAGGTGCTCTTTGGAATGGACAAGACCAATGCTTGGGTTGCACTCAAAATGTGAACAAATGACACACATTCTCTTTGCCAAAAGGAACAAAATAATAATAATAAAGGTACTTCATATCTATGAAATGTTTGAAGAAAGAAAAGTTTCTATTCTAGACCATAACACAGAATTAAGTAGAGCAAATATTTATAAGGAAGGGATATAGATAATCCATTTGTACTGTCAAGACAACTTCAATGACAAACCAAGCACAGATAGTGTCTGACAAGGGGAAGAAAATATAATATGGGACTTTCATGGCGACTCTTACATAATCAAAATTCACCATCGCCCTGGACGGAACTTCATTTCTCCCACATTGATATGTGAAGCACTAACCAACAATGTGATGGTATTTGGAGATGGAGCCTTTGGGAGATAATTAGGTTTGGATGAGGTCATGAGGGTTGGGTCCTCATAGTGGGTGGGATTAGGACCATCATGTGCTGATCCAGTGAGAAGGCAGACATCTACAAGCCAGGAAGAGAGTTCTCACCAGAAATCAACTATGCAGAAACCAACTACGCTAACACTTTGATCTTGGACTTCCGGCCTCAAGGACTAAGAAGAAATAAATGTCTGTTGTTTGAGCCACCTGATCTATGATATTTTGTTATGGTAGCCCAAACTGACTTAGATAACAGTGTATTTATTGAGCCCTGCATAAAGACACTGTATAGCTGAATGATAAGCGCCTACTTTAATTCCATCCTCCGGCATTCAAATACTTTGAAATAGCTTTGTTATTTTAAAAATTACTACAGCTCTTTCTCAGTCTTTTCTTTCTTTTTTTTTTTTTTAAGATTGTATTTATTTATTTGGCAGAGATCACAAGCAGGCAGAGAGGCAGGCAGAGAGAGAAGGGGAGGCAGGCCCCCTGCTGAGCAGAGGACCCTGGGATCATGACCTGAGCCAAAGGCAGAGGCTTTAACCCACCGAGCCACCCAGGTGCCCCTTCCCAGTCTTTTCAATTTAAGTTTCATCTGCCCCTGCCCTATATCTCCGTATCCCCTGGAACCATGTCACAAAGAGCAATGACATCTAAACATGGAAATGCCCCTCCCAGGTACCCACCCAGAAACACCTGTCCACCCAATAGCCTGTAATTCTGGTTGTTCTTGGTCTGACTCTCTAATCTCTGATTTGTGTTTTTTATTCTGACCCATTTTCTGGATGCTTTTTGTTGTTGCTGTTGTCATTGTTTGCTTTGGCATGCTGACTCCCTCTTCCACTTTGTTCTGCTGCCCCCCACCTGAAGCAGTTCCCCAGCCAGCCTTGCCCAAGGCCTGCTTCATCCTCTGGGCAAGCTTACCCACTCTCCCTTTCCCCATGTGATGAAAAGAACCCAATTCAGGCAGATTTGTATAATAAAAGCACATTTTGTTTCCTGGTCCTCTTCCTTTGTATTGATCCAAATTTGAAATGAGAGCACTGAGGATTATTTAGATACTAAAGAGTTAAGTAAATTATAAATGATTGGGATGAATAAACAGATTCATTCTTTCATATCAGGAGACTTTTTTTCCAGATAATATCTGCTTCCCACTCCATATCCCCAATTGCAATTGGGTAAATAATTCATTGAGCAATAAAAATTTGTTTCAACTGTCATGTATGCTTTTTTTTTAAGCTTATTCATATAAGGCAGTGCCTGAAATTTTAAACAACATTGTCACATAATTTATTCTACTCTTACCTCACTCTAGGGAATTAAAAATTAAAGAAAAAAGTCATGTTTAAACAGTCATTTCTTTAGAGAATACTTAAAAACAGTCTTGATCTATATATAGAGAGACTGAAATACTGCTAATAAAAGACAAAGAAAATTGCTTGCAAATTTCAATATTAAACCAAATTCAACTATAATAAAAAAGGTGATTTTTTATTGCCCCTGAATGAATTGTAAGTTATTTCTAATAAGCTCAAAGATAGAAGCAATAATTCCTGTTCAGCTCCAGAACACAAATTTTAATACTTAAAATAGTATAATGACAGTAGCATTGAATAAGCAGAAAGTGACATTTTTGAAATGAAATATCTGAGCACAAAGGTTATGCATGGCTTTCAGTCATGCCCAGATGATCTGTCTTTCACAGTTAATTTTGGAAATTCACCATGTCCTTTGTCAACCTATCCTTCTGAAATAATTTTTCCTTATTAAAAAAAGTATAATGTAAAACCATGCTTTAGTATTTGTGGATATTCTTGACCCAAGAAGTGGAAACAGGTGACACAGCACAGGTCAATATTTCCCTGTCTCTGTGGCTACAGTATCTCAGAATCTGAAGGGCTCTTAGAAATTATCCAGCCTAGGGGTACCTAGGTGGCTCAGTTGGTTAAGCATCCACCTCTTGATTTTGGCTCAGGTTTTGATCTCAGGGTCTTGAAATCGAGCCCCAAGTGAGGCTTGGACCTGAGTGTGGAGCCTGCATAAGATTCTTAAGATTTTTCTCTCTCTCCCTCTCTCCTTGCCCTCCCCCACAATGTGCACACTCCCTCTCTCTATATGTAATAAATAAATCTTTTAAAATATGAGAGAAATTATCCAGCCCAAACACTGTACTTTACTG